TGACTTCTTCTTTATTTTCTTCAAACCCTCTGTGAAGTGTTTGGATGCATCTCAGTATCATTTCCTGAGTTCCTTCTCAGGCAATTCCCAAGCCTGCCCTCCTTCCAATGGGATGTTTAGGTCTACCTTCTGTTCATTTGTCTCAGTCACTCTATCTTGTGTCTGGACATGTACCAATATGGTAAGGTGTTTCTTATACATCTTCAATGGTTTGCTGTGATTTTAGTAATTAGATGATTGTATGTTGATGTTTTATTATGCTTTCTGATTGCCTCCAAGTAGGTGTGATCAGGAGATGGACTTCTCTGTTCACTCTTATTACTGAAGTCAGAGGAAGTGTAGCAGGTGTTAGATGCCTCGCTGGTGTATGCTGTTGATGGTGGTGGTGTTATATGTCATGGAGTCGGTTCCAACTCATAGCAACCCTGTACAAGGTTTCCGAAGGCTGTGAATCTTTATGGGAGCAGAAAGCCTCATCTTTGTCCCACGCAACAGCTTGTAGTTTTGAACTGCTGACCTTGTGGTTCGCAGCCAGATTCATAACCACTACACTAAAAGAGCTAGCAGCTGGTATTGACTCTTGCCTGGATGGTTGGATTTTATAAGGTATGATTGTAGCTTGCCTATATGACCACAATTGCTGTCTCTTCTTGAGTAATGTAGTGAATGAAAGAGCCCCCTAAAAGTAAAAAGGGGACCAGAAAACAAAATAGCAACAGCAAAAATTCCGATGAGATACTATAGTTTATAACCGCAGAAAAGAGAGAGAGAGAAAAAAAATCTGTAGTAAAATTTAAGTATACAAAATCTCTCTCTTGGCTTCTTCCCTTCAAGGCCACCTAACAAATTTTTAGATGTCACTTTTGGTTCTTATGACATAACTCAAGGATTTAATTTTTGGCCTGTTTCCTTTTTAGGCTGTCTCTCTCCCACTCCACAACCCCCATCCAGGCTGACAGTTTCTTATAGCTATGCACACAACTACAATTTGACAACAATATAACTTAAGATATGTATCCAAGAAAAATTAAAAATTTATGTTGAGACAAAAGTGGTACAGAAATGGTTATATATAAGCTTTATTAACAACATTCATAGCTAACAGTAGTTAAAAGGAAAATATCCTAATGCAATGTATTTCTATACAAATAAAAGATACTACATAAAACTTCATGTTATTTAAAATGTCTCAGTGGAAATAAAGAAAACAGCGTAGTAGTGAAGGCAGACTATGGCTTCTCCATGATTCTTAAGGCCTTTCTCTTCTATAGTTCTCATTTGTTCAGTGAGGCTTGAGGAGTAAGGAAAGACATAGTCACATTTCTTACATTCACAAGACTTATCTGCAATGTGAGATCTATTATGCTTTATAAAGCTTAATGTCTGACTAAAGGCTTGGCCACTTTCATTTAGGAAGTTTTTCTCTACTGTGAGTTTTCAGATGATTTGTGAGATGTGAGGACCGACTAAAGGCTCTGCCACATTCATCACATTCATAAGGCCTCTCTCCACTGTGAATTCCCTTATGAGCTGTGAGGTGTGAGGACATAATGAAAGCTCTGCCACACTCATTACATTCATAAGGTCTGTCTTCACTGTGGGTTCTCTTGTGCATTGAGAGACTTGCTGGACGACTAAAGGCTCTGCCACATTTGTTACATTCATAAGGTCTCTCTCCACTGTGAGTGAGTTTATGAATTGTGAGGGATGAGGACCTACTAAAGGCTTTACCACATTCATTACATTCATAAGGCCTTTCTCCACTGTGAGACCGCTTATGATTTATGAGGCTTGATGAGTGACTAAAGGCTTTACCACATTCATTACATTTATAAGGCCTTTCTCCACTGTGAGATCTCTTGTGATATTTAAGACTCGAGGGCAGAATAAAGGCTTTATTACATTCATTACATTCATGAGGCCTCTCTCCACTGTGAGTTCTCTTATGAACTGTGAGCTCTGAGGAGAGAATGAAAGCTTTACCACATTCGTTACACTCATAAGGTCGGTCTCCACTGTGAGTTCTCTTATGATATTTGAATCTTGAAAACCAACTAAAGGCTTTACCACAGTCGTTACATTCATAAGGCCTCTCTCCACTGTGAGTTCTCATATGCATTGTGAGGTATGAGGACCAATTAAAGGCTTTACCACATTCATCACATTCATAAGGCCTCTCTCCACTGTGAGTTCTCATATGCTTTGT